GTTTCTTTTCGACCTTGGGATCACTTTCCTCTACGGCAACATCTTTAATCTGACGAGATAACGTTAAAAGCTTTTGAGAAAAGAAGGGCAAAGGTAGTGTAGAAGTAAAGATAAGAATATGAGTTAAGGCTTACTAGAGCAGTAAAACGAGATAACAATGTTGGCAAGTCACACCCTTCAGTAGGATCGATTGCTGTACACTGTAGGAAAACGGAACATAATATAGGGAATATGAGTAATTTCTTTTTTTTTTCTTTTTTTTTTTAAAAAAAAAAAGATGAGTGTGTAAAGGGATTACCTTGACTCTGTAGCCACTCTCCATTAGTCGCTTAACAGATTCAGCTTTCATTTTCAGGTCATTTTTTTCCTAGTACCAACAAGGCAAATTGAGGTTGGAAAGGGTAAAGCATGCGAGTTATCGAAAGCCAAGCAAAGCCGTGCTAAACCATTTCAAATGTGTGCATATATAAAAAAATATAGTGGTAAATTACAAGATTTATCCAAGAGACATACGGTGGGTTATTACTGCGAAATGACTTGGGATCGTTTGGTCAATTGAATGGAGAGTGAAGATCAAAAACTAGATTTGAGGAGTCATTTGCAATCACTCAAAACAATTATTGGGCTCCATTCGACTAGGGTGAATTCGAAAACATCCAATTTCAGTTGTGATTCAACCATGTGTTGGGGTTTAAACTTCACAATTGAACTCTATAGAACCAAATTATGCAATCCAAATACAGCCTTAGTCTTCTCTCGTTTGTTTGTGACGAATCGAATTGGGTAAATAAACTTATCTCGTGTATTTTGAAGAATTAATTATGTAAGACTGCAAAAAGGTAGTGAGTAAAATTCTTTTTTTTTTTCCCTTATATCTGTAGAATCCAGGATTCAAAGTATTAGGAAAGGAAAAGCTAACAATAAACTCACAATTTTAGCAGCAAAACGGATTTCTTTACAGGGTCCTTTCTTGATCGTAGCCTGCAGAAATAATAAAAATGGTGAATTGATTCGATCGAAAACAAAACAATGGACTTATCGGCAGGGAACTCGCAGATCTGTGAGATGTCCCAATATCACGGAAGAAAAGCAAACAGAGTATGCATTTCCACTGTATCAAAATACTGTATTAATAATAAAATGAAAGAAAAAAAAAACAATCAACCTTGGTTTTAGCACGCTCCTTCTCCTTCTCCTTCGTTTTTTGAACGTACTTCTCTTTGTGAAAATCGAAAATTTTGC